AAGGACTGGTAGAAGTAGAATTTTCCCACAAATGATATGAGTTGAGCTGACGTTTCCATTGAATTTTTACCCAAAAGACGCTCGTTGCAGTGTAGCCGAGTGGCTAGCGTGTCTAGCTACCGTCCTGCACTGTCGCGGTTCGACTCCCGCTGAGAGTGTTGATAAGACCAATGCGAGGTCAACACTGCAGTCCACCAAGGATGAGAACAACTTTTGGGAAAGCAAAGCTATTTAAAAATTCAATGGAAACATCAACTCAACTCATATCATTTGTGGGAAAATTCTACTTCTACCAGTCTCCTTCATCACCTTAAACCGTGAATACATCTTATAACTGATTTACTGGTAGTCACGAAAAACAATACTTAATTCGAAAAATAAAGTATATTAGTCGATTGTTATAGCAAAACATACGTTTGCTTCATCGACAATTCCACAAAAAGCATATGATATGGCAAAAAGGCCTGGCCTTCCTTGAAAATTCACATTTGATCTGTGACCCAAAAGGCGCTCGTGGCAGTGTAGGCGAGTGGTTAGCGTGTCAAGCTACCGTCCTGCACTGTCGCGGCTCGACTACCGCTGAGGGTGTTGATAAGACCAATGCGAGGTCGAAACTGCAGTCCACTTCAGCCGGGAAAAGAACAACTTTTGGGAAAGCAAAGCTATGTAAAAATTCAACTGAAACGTCAACTCAACTCATATCATTTGTGGGAAAATTCTACTTCTACCAGTCCTTCATCTTATAACTGATTTACTGGTAGTCACGAGAAACAATACCTTATTCGAATAATAAATATCCGCATAATTATATATTTTCTTCCTATCTCCATTTACCACAGGTTCTGGCCAAATTCAACTGTGGCAATTTCTCCTCGAGCTGTTGGCCGACAGTCGCAATGTGACCTGTATTACTTGGGAGGGTACCAATGGGGAGTTCAAACTGATCGACCCTGACGAAGTGGCCCGTCGGTGGGGTGAGCGAAAGTCGAAGCCCAACATGAACTATGACAAACTGAGTAGGGCGCTCCGCTATTACTATGACAAAAATATTATGACCAAAGTGCACGGCAAGCGCTACGCCTACAAATTCGACTTTGCCGGTCTTGCTCAAGCCATGCAACCGCAGCCCCAGCTAACTTCATACGCTGCCGCCACTGCAACCGCGCCTGCCGGCTACATTGCATCCACTTTGACGCCCTCCTCGTCGCCACCGGGTACAGTCTGTTCTTCCGTTGCCTCGGCAAACGGTAAAAATCGTCTTACTACTTCTGGATTCACAGCCAATGCCAGACGGACTGCTTGCCACAACGGCAACAGCCTAGGCTGCAATGCTGCCGCTTTAGGCTTTCCGCCGAGCATCTCAATTTCCTCAATGGCATCGACAAATGCCGCTTTAATGACATCCTCATGCCTCTCGGTTGCGCTCAACAGCGCTGTACAGCCTGCGCCAGGAGGACGCTATTTCGCCAGTCCTAATTTAGGCGAAACTCACTGCTCAGACGCCATTCAGCATGTACAGGCCGGCCAATTCATTGGACCACATCAAAGTCCAAATCATCATCATCATCAGCATCATCATCAGCAGCAGCCTCATCATTCTCATCATAATCCTCATCAGCCTCAAGCCGTCGTAGATAGTCAGCAGTCTGCTCATCCTCTTATTCAGCCCACCCTCAGCCATGCAGATTATCAGTCTCATATTCAGCACTCGCACATCTCCCAACAGCAACACCACCAATATCCGCATCAACAACAAACCCAACCACAGCATCAACAGCAACAACAAAGTCATTACCATCATCCGTTTAATCATCATCATCATCAGCAGCAGCAGCAATCACTTTCTTCTCATTCTCATAGCACCACACCATCGGGTAGCCTGCAGACACAGGCGCCCATTTTCAGCACAAACCTCACATATTCAAATGCTTCACAATTGAACTCTGGCTTTAATGTATTCACGCATCCAAATGTTGGAATGAATACCTTTCCAGCTTTGCACGAGGCCAGTCCTGAAGAAAAGCCCGCCACCGAATCGGTCTCGTCCTTAACCCCGCCTGGAACACAGACATTCGGCACCATGCGAGATTATGCCTCCCCCAGTCTTTTTCTTGGCTCATCATCTGTCCAGAATATGGCATATCCAGACATCTTAAGCATGTCGTATACTCAATTAGGAGGCTCAGAAATGCCCGCTTATCGACAGAGTGGACCGGTTTTTGGTCATGGAGCTCAACAATTGGCCTCTTCTCATCTTTTCAATGTGCATCCCTCGAATCACGTCCCCCCACTTCAGCACTCATTAGCTCAAACCGTACCACCACAGTCTTCACACGATGATTCACATGCTCGTGTCCCCTCGACTCCACCCACCACCTCGACTGAGGTCTCCTCTTCCTGCTCATCTGGTTTCTCTGCCTTCCATCTTTCGGTCAACGTGCCTAATAATCTGGCCGACCAGGTGACGGCAAGCCGAGACGGCCTGAATGCAGACTGTGACAGCACCAGAGCAGGTATGATGCACATATCTCCACTCTTCGATCAAGTAGCTCAGGCGTTGAGCAGAGGTGCCAGTCTGGGACAACAGACACAATTCAATTGTCTGTCAGCAAGCAGCATCAGCAACGAGGGGAATGTAACTCATTTAAGCAGCTGCAGTCCGAGTAGAAGCCCTTCGTCGGGAGGCAGCGGAGGAGGCATTGGCGGAGTTGGAGTGGGCAGTTGTGCTGAAGGCGTAGATATAAACGAACTTTGCGAGAATGGACTAGATGAGGCTGGTCCAGGAAAAGGAGAAAATGTGGGCAAGGAGGCTGAGCGATGCCAGGCGAGTGATGCCAATAAGGCAGCAACACAAGTTGGACGAGAATATAGAGTTAAAGGACACGAAGTCTCTACCTCAGATGGAGACTCGCATCCTTCTTTGTCGTCATTCTGCTCCTCGTCATCAGCCTCATCATCATCTTCATCCTCTTCTTCCTCATCCTTTCATAGACCGATTTTGCCAACCAATGCATTGCAGATTTCGCCCTCCCAGTGCGATTCTCCCCATACCTCACCCGTTGCCCTTCTCCCTCCTCCTCTGTCTTCTTCGCCTCCACTGCAACATATTATCTCGGAGTCGGTTACTCAGTCTGCTCAGGTCTATTGGCCTCCTTCGCATCGGAAGTCGCATGTGACCGTCGTTTCTGGAAGAGTTGATTTACCGGAAGACGATAACGGCCAAGCTAATCGGAGTCAAATTTCTCCTTCAAAACACAAACCAATGGTGACCATGGCCTCTTGGTTGCTGCAGCCACAGCTCCCACCCTCGCCTCAGCGTCCATTCCCAAGGCTCCCAGATGCACGTGGGGCCGGTGGAAATGGAGTGACTAAAAGGCAACGTGATGCTACTGCCGAGCTAAAGCCAGCAACTAATAATGCTTCATCATTAAACAGCCTAGGAATAGTCAATTGTGCCGTTAGTGCGGGCAGGACTATTTCAAGCACCAGGGCTCAGTTTATGCAGTAGCTTGTGGCATGGGCAAGCCAATCGAAGGTGAAATTGTCCCCTCTGCCCAAGGTACACAGCCAACTTTTGTACTCTCTGTATATACAACAATGTATTTGATAATATTAGATTTTATAATTAAAACAATTTATCGCTCCGATTTGGATAAGTTCTATCAATACCGTCAGTTATTATGCATTATGTCGAAACGAGAATAGATAAATAATTATGAATATTTTTGTTTTATATTTTTTAAGACAATCTTCATCTAAGTTGATAGAAAAAATAAGATTAAAAAAATTAATTATAACATAATATGTAGAAGGTTAAAACTGTTACAAAAACAAAATTGAGTGTGGATATAATGCTAAAATTGGTATGACCATTAGTCTAGTTACAGTCTCCTTTAGCCATATAGAATCAGTTTGATCATATTTTCACAATCTAATTGTGTCTTCAAAGAGACCTTAAAAAAATCATTACGCGTTACATCCTCTTCCGTTTTTACCCAGTTTTTTTGTAGTATTCATAAGCAATTCACCTGAATCGTGGTCGATAAGCATAGTGAGCCGTGCCAGTTTTCGAATAAAAACATATGATAAAGATGACAAAGAACTCAGAACAGGCTAAAAAGTCAATCCAATTAAATAAATAATAGTACTATCCATTACTGAAAAAATTTAATCATTTAAGCCTGAGGTCTCTTTAGCTTATTCTGAAGTTTGTTTCAAATCAATTTGGAAAAAGCCAAGTTTATTTTAGAATTCTAGTTCCTGGAAAGCATGCCAGTTACTTGGAAACTTAAAAAAAAGGTATTCCATAAATCATTGTGGCATGAATCTACATTTCGAAGGGAAAGTTGGTTGGAAGGAATATGTGATGCGGTCTCACCGGAAACTGGAGAGTTGTCGAATAAGGAAGATTGTTAAATTGTGCAAAGAAGTCCTCGGATCACCTCCGCAAAATTCAAAAATCTTCCCTACACGACAATCCTCCTTCGGTTTCCGGTGAGATTACACCACGCATTCCTTCCAACCAAGTTTCCCTTCGAGGTGGAGAGTCATGCCACAATATTTCATCAAGGAATTCTTCGAAACCCAGTTTTTCTTCATTCAATACATCAATTGTTCCTAAGGCTATTTCGGAAAGGAAATTCCTTATACCATTTTTGAAGTCAAGAAATCGCAGGTGGAATTGAGTTTCCATAGGCTTTGAGTATTTAAGTGATACCCCCAACTTGCTTTAGGAATTTCGCATCTTGTTTATCAATACGCACATATTTGTCAGGAAATTTC